CTGCCAAACTCAATACATGCATATAACGTGATGGAATCTGTTGCAATTGCGTCTCGACCTTGTTATAGAACCTCCCACGGCGCAAGGTACAAAAGACATGTGGCAAAGACACCAAGTGCACTGATGCTGCATAGGGTGGAAAAATGGGACACATAGCACAACAGTGCTTATGTGGCCACCCCTCCATGCACCATCACACCGACAGAAGGATTGATGTGGCAAGCAGCAGACTCTTAATGTTTGGCATGTGGCTTTGCCCACGTGTGATCAACACGCCAAGAACTCGGTCCTAAAGTCTGGAACCCTGCACTAGCAAGACCAGGCAGGGATCATACATTCACGACTCTCCTCCAGGTGCAGTGCAGAAAGAACTCGGCCCGCCGCTCTAAACGAATACCTGCCCTGACCTTTGCTCGGCCGACAGAGCTCAAACCGTCACCTGCCAACAGCATCCACTGATTTGAGTAAGATGGAGAGGTTGAACATGTGCCTGGTGGGGTTGGCAGACGTGCGCCAAAACTACCCTGGTTGATGCTGGGCAGTCCGCCACCACCAGCACTGGGCAAAGCATGTGGACCTTTGCTCAACAATTTGCTACACAGACTTGGGGCTCCAAGGGGCCTGTGCTGCATATGCTGCATGGCCTCGACTTGGCGCCCTACTTGGCTGGTTGCTGCTGCCAGCATTGCTGCTGCCAGGCACACCAAGGGCTTGTCTCACCTGTCCAAATGTTGTATCCAGCAAAGTCTGCATGACAAGAAGTGAGGCCTCCTCCACCGCAGACAGAGATGGCTTCTTGACGTCTAGGCCAGACTTCTTGTTGAAGATGTCAGGAGCTCCTTGCATGCCAAGAATTCCATGAAGCACCCCGAAAGTTCGAAAACCGCAAACGTGTGCCTACGTCCCCGTCTCCATCTTCGGTGAGGTCCAAGAGCTCCTACAAGGATTCGACGTCTTGTTTGAACATGCCTTGGACGTGGAGCTGGCCTCGTTGCCTTCCTTTTTATGCTTTCCCTGAACATGGATCTGATGAGCTGGCTGTTGAAAAAGGACTTGCAGCAGCTTGCTTGCAACAGCTGCCTCCTTATGTTTCTTCTTCTTTTTCTTCTCCTCATCCTTACCTGCGGCCATGCACTGCAGCGAAAAGCTTGTCTGTCCTGAGTAAGCTCCACCCAAGTGTGCAGTGCCTGTAGCCGAAGCATCTGCCTGAAGAGTCAGCGCAGGCCATTGGCCGATTGCGTGCACTTGACTTTTCTGGATCAGCAATGCCAACGCCGCTACACCTGGGACCCCAGCTCCAGCCATTCGAGAGGAGCTGTCCTCTTCTTTTGCTTTATCACGCCTTGGGGCTAGCAATAAGGCGCCAGCCGTGCACGCCACTTGCATGACAACACTTCTATAAGCGCTGTACGTACTTCTGCCAAGCGGATCTGCCAGGCAAGAATTGAGAGATTTGAATACACGTAGCCTCTTGTTCTCACAGACTTCCAGGCCTACATTGCCCATCACGAGCATCCTCAGCATGCTGGAATTTCAAGGGAAGCGCATGCACTCTGTCAAGTTCCATCACACCTGCAAGATCATTGAGGTCGACACTGCTGAATGCGAAGCTTATCTCTGCGTGGATCATCCATCGGGCCAAGCCCAGGAACAGCCTGTCCAAACATCATGTAAACAGCGCTGATTCACATGAACTATCCTGACTTTATGCACACAGACCCGATTTGGGTGACGGTTCTTTTGTAAACAGAGCTAGCTGATACAGGCTTCCACCTGTCCACAGTGCTTGCTCATGTCGCGGAGCGCCCTCATCTGCAGATACCTGACAAATGCCAGCATGTGGTTTTGTAATCGACTCCATCCTCATATCTTTCGGCGGACAGCGCATGGCAACGCGCAGGTCGTGGATCTGTCCACACCTGAGCACCGTCTCTGATGGACTGTCGAAGCATCAATCGCCCCATCCAGAAAAAGCGAAAACATGTTGGATCCTGGCACTGACCTGTTTCTCGCGATTATAGTAGAACTTCTGACCTTCCATGCCGAGTCAGCTGCATCTTGTGCCGAGCACTTTGAGATGCATACTATGAGCTTCAATCACGACCATGTTCCAGCCTCCCTCGTCAGTATGCTCTGACCATGCCTGCGCATAAAACTACGTATAACATGATATGCTGAGAGAACAGGACAACGATAGCACAGGCCTGGAGTTCTCTGATAGACTCCCGTTCTGCATCGTCGCACCTTGCGCATGACACGGCATCAGACCATACATCATCATACACCACAAAGCCACAGCAGTACAGCAGATAAGCGCCCGGCTTTCGCTTGAGCCTCTCAAGTTCAGTCACCTGATCCTGACAGAAATGCGATTCACGAAGCAGACGGCATACTGACTATTTGCCATTCTGTCCTCTTTGGAGACCTCGCCGCTGCGATAATGCACAATGGACTTGTACCTGGGGCAACTTCCTCTGCCCTGTAACTTGCAAGTCCATGCGTATAAGCTCCAGCGGTAGCTGATCCTTTTCCAAACGATTTTCAGGGATATGAACTCGGCCTTGAGGCTGCCTAGCTGGGCGCACGTGTCCCGGTGCATCTGCTCAAGCGGATGCGTCCATGAGCTGGCATGGGTCTGCACGTTGTAGTAGAAGACCCGGTCAGCACTGCAGCAAGGCACATGAGCTTGCTAGCAAACTTACATTGAAAGAAAAATCCTACAAGCCTGTCGTGGTGTTCTGTCCACTCAGAAGGAAGCGGCGCAGCAAGGGCCTTGCACAGCTCTGATGTGTCACAATGTAATGAGGTACGTGCTTTATGTCTCTGAGCCTCATCTGCGATCCACATGAGGTCCCCATCTGTGATGGGATCTATGCCCAAGTACCTTGAAACATGAGAGTCGTAGGCTTCCTAGTTGTGCTGCGTCCGCTGAGAGCAGCACCGCGCATATGCAATGAGCTCAGGCTTGGTAGGCTCAAGCCCTCTTTCTCTATATCGCTTCGTGCGAGCTACCTTTGACAGGGTAGACAGCAGACGTCTGCAAGGCGTCATGTTGCCAATGGTTGGAGGCTCTTAGGCAGCCACAAACTCATTGACGGTAAGCGCTCCTTTGCCTGCAAGTCTTGTTCCACTGGCGCAGACCCCAGAACTGCTTCAAGTGAAAGATGTCTTCTGCGCATTACCGCCTCCTCCTCCACTCCTTTCACCTTTGGAACCACTGCGTCCGCTGCTCTCAGCCTGAAGCCCCCGCATGTCACCGGCAAACACACCGAAATCCAAGCCGAACAGGCCTTCGAACTTTTGTCCGGAGACTCAGCCGACGTCTGCACAACATGAACAGTAGCAGTGGAAAAGGTGTATTCCCAGATGGCTCCAGAGTGTGTGCGCCTTCGTAGCTTTCGGGAGACCAAGCTTCAGGCCGAACACCTGCATGCAAGTGGGGATAGAATGCAGGGCTGTGCGGTAACGCGGTCCGTGGACACATGAAGTCTGAGCTGTTTGCCATAGCTCTCACACTTGACCTCGTATGGCACCCGCAGTAAACATGTCGCTCCTAACTCTTCAATTGCACCATGCTCCCCGATCAAACTGCTCATTCAGCTCCAGGCCATGTCAATTGGTGAGAGGATTACTTAGCTTGGCGGCGCAGCCGCTCTGAGCCCAGATGAATAGCAGATGTAGGAGTATAATACTGAATTCATAGGCCTCAAGGATTCCTTGGAATTATTCTTAGACTCTCCCATACTGCTGGCCTTCGAGATGTTCATCACAGCTGACACCCACAGTCAAGCTACATGGAGAGCATCAGCCTTTTTCGAAACCAAGACCTAGGCTACTTCTGCCGAACGTTCATCAAAAATCTGATGAAACTCATTCATACTCATTCTCAGCCCAGCAATCTTCACGCAAGGTGGACACCTTGCTGCTAGCGAAATGCTTTACGAAATTCCTGACAGTTGTACGAGCTACTTGCTGGGACGTGACCTTCGAATTGTGCAGATTCATTGGGAGACTGCCCGCCGTTCAGCTGGTGAAATAGAATCGGCATTGCCACGCTGCGGGCCCTGTTGTGATACAAGGTTCAGCCTGTTGGGAAGGGTGTCGGCACCATGAAAACCTGAAGCCATCGGCCTTGTTGGTAGCATGTGCTCATGTAAGGCCCAACACTGAACCCTGTGAGACGCGTCTTCATAAGCAACCACACATCACTGCATCACCCTTGACGTGATGAGCGGCTCAGTGTGAGGAGACTTTGCAGAGGAGACATTCATAGTGGCACCACTTCTCTGCCTGAGACATAATGCTTCCTGCCCTGCAGCCAAGTCTAGCTTGACCGTGGGCGAAGCCCATAAATATGTGAAACCGGATGAAACCGGGACGCGGCAGAGTGAGACCAAGAAAATGAAACTTGAAACAACCTCAAGAATGGCTCTAATTGCTCCTTGCAAGAAAAAATCTGACAAAGGCTGAAACAATTATGGCAGTAAACGCCGGATGCCCTCTCAGTGAGACCCCCACATGGCCGTATTGGAGCTGGGAGGAGGTGGTGGCAGAGGTGGAGGAGCACCTGCTTCGTCTCCGCCCACAAGGCCATCCACCTGAGCAACGCCGCAGGCTGCACTGGTGATTGTACGGGTGACTGGGGTCAAAGCCATGCCCTTGGCAGCAGCATCGTCGAAAGAGTTCCAGACCTTGCCCATTCAGGATGTGAAGCTTTCGTCACCCACTTCTCGGTGCCAAGTTCGCGACCGCAGCGGAACTCCCTGGGAAAAAGGCAAGCTAAGGGAGGTCTTCCGGCAACAAGACTGCGTTCAAATCGCGCTTCATGCTCTCCATATTAGGTTCTCCACCGGCTGCAGCCACAGCAGTACCATCGCGCTGCCAGTTAGCTGTGGGAACATGCCTGAGCCGAGTTGCACGGGGCAAGGGCAACTGGGAAAGCACTTTGCAAAGTATGCAGGCCCTGCAGGCTGCTTGGGGTTCCAGGCTCTGCTGGTGGCGCAGGCGGCTGCTGTGCAGGAGGTGCCGGTAACGATTGCTGGAGCAGGGGCCGAAGGATTCAACCGCATGCTGCGCAAAATCCGCACTGCACTGCCGGGAAGCCTTGTCATTCAAGGACATGTCGGATAGCTGCCAGACCTCGTGCTTCCAAGTCCACGAGTTCAACCCTTTCTGCATTTCTGTGGACTAAGGCGGCTACCATGTCCAAGTATTGCTGTTGTGACTGCTGATCTGTGGCTGCCTGAATCTCAGTCAGACAAGATCGAAGCTAAGGCTGCATCTCCAGAGCGACTGAGTTCTCGGCAGGCCCTCGCCCCTGAGAAAAACAGCATGCACGTAAGTACGTCTTCTGGTTGCCATGCCATCAAACGATCCGCATACATTTGCGACGGGAGCCGATAGCTTCAGGCACGTTTAAGAACTGGACGAGACTGCCAGTCGCAACAGTTGGGTCTGCCTGTCAAGTGGACAACGGACTAATTACAGCTGCCATATGTTGTGTTTAGCAGACCGCCTGCGGCTGGGTGTAGGGCTGCACATGTGGCTGCGACTGCTGTGGCTGTGCTTGCGGAACCTGCCACGGGCTTCAGCTGGATTTTACACACTCGCGCAGGGACTGAGCCTGGCTCTGCGCGCCCTGGTAACTTCCATAGGCAACCACCTGCTGGAAACAGCTTGGCTGATAATGTGTCCTCACATCGAAAGCTGCCGAGATGCCCCAGATCCAGGCTGCTGAAGGTAGTTGTACGGGCCTAGCTGCAAGTACAGGCAAAGTGATCCAGCAAAAGGGCTGTAGCTACTGGACATCTGCAATGAGCTCTGTGTCACAGTGTCACATGCTCACTCAAGATCATGGTACTGTTTGGAAAGACAAGAATGAAGCTGTTTCCTCAGGATGGCAGTTTCGAAGCCTACCTGGCTTTAGGCCGCCACTTTGCCCAAGGCCATAGCCCGCTGCAGCATACGCCTGCAAGTCCAACTTGAGGGATGGCTGCTAGCATTGCATGAAATCAATTCTCAGCCGAGAGCAGTCGCTGGGTTTGTCGGATATGATGTGGGCTGCTGGCTGTACTGTGCCTCAAACAAGATTCTTCTGACCAAGAACTGCAAGCGGGGATATACTGAGGAGTACAGATGAAGCACCAAGGCAAAGCGAATGGGTGGCTCACAGCTGCTCCATACCCGGGTGGAGCACCGTAACCAGACTGTGCCTTCTGCAACTCTGTTGAGGATCAGTCGCAGGCTCAACGTGCCGACAAGTGCCTGTGGTGGGTACGCTCCTCCTGCTGGTGGGTACACCGCACTGCTTGCTGTCGCAGCGGCGGTTTGATAGGCTTGCTGCCTGACCATTGTGACAGCTCCTGCTGATTGACAGCTACTGAAATCTCTGAAAAAGGCAACTCTGAGAGCAGGGCCCCGCCGCGTAGGCAGCCTAGCCAAGAAAGCGAAAGAGCCGCTGAAAAGAAATCACCGCAAGACACGCATGAACAGATTTACATATGAACATATGTACATACATAAATATATAGATATATATATATATATACACAATCTGCGGCCTGCTGACCCGCAGCCGAGTACTGCCCAGTTCCGGCATACGCCTGCATGTCAGCTTCACATGTTGCTTCTGAAGTTGGCATGGCAATAATAGCCTGCTGGCTGGACACGTATGGCTGCTGGCTTCCAGCATAGGGCTGACCTCAGCGAAGGTTGCGGACCAGACTCTGCGTTCCTGCGGAATCCAAGCACCGTGCCCACGTAGCTCTGCGACTGTGCAGGCGGGTATCCTGCAAGGATTCTTCAATCGGAATTTGCCTCTGATCAAGGGCGCAGGCGAAAAACCCAACCTGGTGCGTGGGCTGCAGCCTCGGAGACTAAGTCATGCGGATGTAATGTGATGCAATGGCATTGGATTCTCTTGGCCGTGAGCAGCAGCAACGGCGGCCGCATAACTAGACCCCGGATAAGCCGCCTGCCGACATAGTTGGCTGCGGGAAGATTCAACTACATCTTCCTTGGATCAAGAGCTTGAACCAAACCCGTCTTTTCCTGGGCTTCAGGAGTCCTCAAGGCCACTAATCATAGATACGCAACAAGGGTAAGGCCCAGATCATACAGAACGACAGGCCAAAACTGCTTCTAAAGCACGACAGATCTCCGACAAAGGACACATGGCATGAAAGTACAACAAAAGAGGATTATTGGAGCTATCGAACTGCAAACTTGCGCAGGCTGAATCAAAAGTTGCCAAGAAGTCCAACCTGCTGAGCAGCTGCAGAAGCCTGCATGTCATATCATGTCATTCTGAAAAGGCATATAGCTGGCATTTGTGCATCGACGAGACACGCAGGCATAAGCGCAGGCCCTGCACATGTGCCGCCAAGGCACATGCGCGTAGCTGTTGATGTCGCGAAGCAGTGGCCTCCGGAATGATCGTGCTTTGCAGAGAAACTGAATTCATGGCGTCAGCTCCCTAACTCGACGGGCGCACCATGACAAAGACATGCGATAGCAGGCACATGCTGGATTGACTCATGGATCGGCTTTCAGCTTTTTCTCTTCGGTTTTGAGGGTCGTCCCTGCAGAGACTCTGAGCATCCGGCGGTGCAGCCCCGGCCTTCGGCACAGTAGGAGGAATAGCGGCAGAAGTAGCTCATAAATCCAGAAGAGAATTAGAAATTGACATTCAAGGACAAACCCAGGATCTCAGAATGTCAGACCAGCGGCATCTAGGCCACCGCCAACCTCAGAGCAGGAAGATTGCTGAACCAAGCTAATGCTGCTTCTCGGAACCACAGATGCGGCAGAGGGGAATGCCCAATCAGGTGACACGACACTGAGGCAAGCGCTGCTGCTGGATCGCGTGCCAGCGGTGCCACTGGCACCCCACCTTCGAAGGACGGCATTTCTGTTGGTGCAGATTCGCTGGAAGACCTCTAAATGTCTGAATCCACTCAACAGACTCGTGCCTCCATAGATGGATGCCTTGCACCAAAGCAGTCACACAAACTTCAAAAAAAGCGTCACCACGGGCCTGGTTGCCATACAGTGGCTGCCTCCGTCTTTCATGCTGCTGTAACTGCTGTCACCCGCGAGACGAAGCCAGTTTGACACAAATTTCTTTGGGCCCTGCCCCTGGCTGCCGTACATGTGCTGCCCGTAGAGCTGGCACAACAACCGCTTCCCAGGTGGCAAGCAGCCGTTTCACGCACAACAGGAAGAAACGAAGCAGCAAGTAGTCGCGCCTGCCCTTGGTGCGGCAATGGCTGTTGCAATGGTGGCACAGCATGCGAGTGCGCCTTGGCAGCGTACGCATCGGGACGGAGTCCGAAAAGCAACTTCCCGAAGATCTGTCGTCAGCCAGTTGTAAGCCAGGTTCCAGGGAGTGCTGCTGATGCGGGTGCCTCGGAAACCATGTGGGAATACAGCACAACATGAATCTGCAAGTTGCAAGCACAGGCAGCTGTGCGCAGCAACACCGCTCGTATTTGTAGACTTGCTGCTTGAGTCTGCGCAAATTGAAAAGATGCCCGGAATGCCACGATCAGGGTCTGAAATGGACTTAGTAATTGAAGCACGGAGCGTTCTGCCCTCGCAGAATCTGCCACAGCCAAGCGGTTTCAGGCAAAAACCGCCCTTGCAGAGGTAGGCAGGGCCCCACAGCAGGATAGCATCATACCAGTGCTGGCTGGACAGCAAGCCCCCGACAGGTTCCTACACTTTTCATGAAAATGGCAAGCAGAATTTTGGCTATCACAAATTGGCTCTGGAAGATCCGATTCTTGGAGCTCAAAGAGCTGCCGAAGACGGGCCACGCGCTGGGCGTTCGCTACGCCACTACGCTGGTGGTCCCAGAAAGAGCAGCCACTGCCTGCATCCCTGCCTTTGATGTACTCCAGCCCCCCTTGGGCGCAGAAAGCATTGTAATCTGAAATGTTCTCAAGGTCATCTAGCCGGACTTCTCCGGCTTCCTCGAGGATCCATGTGCAGTTCGTAGATCCATCTGGCTGAGTGCAGCTGGCGGCCTGTCATGAAAGCTCTGACAAGCAAAAGGCAAGTGTGGATTTACAATGTCAACAATATCAACTATGCAAGCCCGCCACGACATTGCGTGGAGAAAGCATAACCCCTTCTTGATTAAGACAAGCTGCATTTTTGGCTCGCTCAGGGAAGGAGTAGAGGTGGGATGTGTTCCCATAGCTGTAGCCACCCATGTAGTCTGACCATGGGAGACAGCCGACGACATGACCATATCTGTTCCAGATTCCCTGGCAGTCAGGGCTGGTGCAGCCTCCATCGCTGTCATACGTTGTGTACGGGCCAAACTGTCCCTTCCATTCTAGGAATGGCTTCTCCGTGTTAAAAACCGTTGCTCTGCAGCGCACAATGCGCGTCAGGTTCATACTCCGTGGGCATGACTGGTTCACCACTGCATCGTGGATGTGCCACAAGACCCCTTGCAAGCTGTACGCCTGCGCAAAGTCCCCTGTGCAACCTAAGCTGTTTGCAGCATTTGCAGCATCCCCCAGCACCTCGTACACGAAGAACTGCATGAGCTTGTTTGCGAGTGGGACTGCGCAGTTAGAGCTGCTCACTTGATCATAGTTGGGGGCACAAGTGCACTGGTCATCTTCGCAGAAACCGGGTGCACAACCCTGCTGAATCTGTACAGTAGAGCAAGCTCCTTGTGGCTGGTGGTTGGGAATAGGTTTGCTCTTTCCAAGCAAGACTAAAGCCACAACTCCCCCAACCAAAACGAGCAAAAAGATCAGGCAGGTCAATGCAAAGGCCGTTTTTTGCCGTGTGGTGCATTTGTGCCTTGCCTCCCGCAAGGAGGCGAGGGATAGTCTATGAGCTGAACCTATGGATGTCCTGGGCGTCTCCATAGGATGATTTTCGGGCCGTCGCAGCAAACGATGGCTTTGTCGAGGAGAAAAGGATACTCCAGAGCCCATGGAATTACTGGGCGTTGCCATGCGATGGTGTTCTGGTCGCCTGGCCACTGGCTCTACTGTCTCATCAGGAGCCTCAGAGAATCCTCCCATAGAATTCCTGGGAGTTTCCATTGCATGATTATCAGGCCTGACCACCGGCGCGCGGATTTTGTCCGACATGCTGGCAGCCCTTGTTAAGCAAGGAGCCGGGACCCTACATCTGAGATGTAGCCAAATCGCTGAGGTAGTCACGGCCTGCTTCTAAATACCGGCACTTGCCGCTTGTTAGTGTCGTGACGCACTCTGAGATTGTCGCTGGAGCGCTGCTGGTGGGGGCGGCATGCCTATTGCTGCCTGGCAAAACTTTCAAACCTCGCGTACACACACCGCACGTCTTTACGCATGTCTGACATGCCTGCGGGGGATAGCGAGTTTGCAGCGGGGGCAGCGGCGCCGGAACTGAGGGATGAAGGGCTCCCTGCCAAATCAAGTGAAAGATTTGCAAGTAACCGAACCGCCGCATGCGAAGCAAGCACCTTCGGTGGCGGGCTGCTTCCCTTACCCGAACTGGTGCCTTAGATGAGACTCAGATAAGTCCAACGGAATCCTTGGAGTGCCGCCATGTGCCGCCATGAGCCATTGAGCTCGATGCGGGGTGCTGGTCCGGGAGCCGCAGTGTCGGTGCGGCTCCGCCTCTCCTCTTTCCGCTTGGCAACCTGCCAAGGCTTTCCCACACTATGCAAAACAAGGGAAATCCAACAAAAAGGCGGCAGCCACCACCTCCTGTTCTGCTTCGGAATCGTCGACCACCATGTCCCCAGACTTCGTCCACTCAGCCTTGCAGTGAAGGGCTCTTCTTGGCTCACGCGCTTCTTGAAAGGTGGCCTTGAGGTGCCAAACATGACCTCGAGTGTCTGGCAGCTGCACCAGTCCTTCCACGGCGGGCATGAGGCAGATCTTCCCATCTGAGAGCCAAGGCTTTAACCCATCGCCTGAAGTCGTAGCTCGGAGAGCTTCCTCGGCATCTGCCTGCACAGAGACGACGCAGAACAGCCAGCCAGGTATGAATGTGGTGTCCTACCTTGCTGAGGAATTTGACGAAGCCAAAGCAACGAGGCTTTCTGGAGGACTTATCCACCTGATTATCAAACTTCAGCCTGTCAGCCCCAGGAAACCCAAGATGCTCAGGCTCTGACAACCAAATGGACTCGCTTCACTCGGCAAAACTTTGAGAATTCCCTTTCGATGTCCGCCTGTGATGCACTCATCTTGCTAACGATTCAGAAAACCTACCAGCTACTACTGCACCACACCTCAGAGGCTTCCCAAGGAAAGTATGCCTGGCAAATGCTCTTCGACAGCGATGCGCAACCTAGATCAAACATGCCAGGCATTCAATCAAGAGCGTCTGCCCACCCCGAACGGGATAGCCTGCCATGAAAAAAAGCTTCAGCAGTGCACCAAGCATGACTGCACAGAGGCAGCAAGATGGCGTGATAGGATGTGATAGGGTAAATTGGCGCTCCAGGCACCGACGTCTGCAGCCATCTCCTTCGGGGGATAGTGGTGGACCTGTCGAAGCATGCTACACGGCTTCCGCAAGCAGACCAAGCCGACCCTGCAAAGGGCCTGGGCTGCGTCCTTTGAGGGCTTGCCTCCTTGCACGCCCAATCTCTGACCCGTACCCCGGATCCGTTCACAGCACTCAGGCCTGAATTGGCGCCTCCCATTCCTCCATTGTTGCGGGGCGCCCCTAGCCAGGAGTCTGATGAACTACAAATTGTTGCGAAGTCTCAAAGCTCCCAAACTGAGAGCCCCGCCATAGCCCTTGCCATACCCAGAGTCATAGTCCTGCATGCTTTGCATGCTTTAGAACTCGCAAGATGCTTCCAGAAACAACTTAGGCGTCCTCTCCCTTCTTTCCTCCCTTTCGACTTCTCTTTCCTGCAAAGCATGGCAAGCTGCAATCTCCCATTCTGAGGTTGCGCTCCTTTTCCATAACTGTCGGCCATCTTATGGGCTCGTAGCTGCCTGAATCTAAGGCAGGAACAGCACGACCCATCCGAGTGCTGAGATGCTGAGATGCCGCACCCACCCTACGAGGTGACACGCCGCCAGGCCAGATCCCAGCCGCCTGGAAAACTAGAGGCAAAGAAAGAAGAAGAAGAAGAAGTGAAAAGACAAACGAAACACCTAGAGAGAGGAGCAAGGCAAACTGGTTCAACACAGGACTGCGTGTGATTTTCAACTTCGCGAGCCTCACACAGTGACACCTCAGTGCCGATTGTCATTTGCAAGCTTCGACTGATGAACAAGAGCAGGCCGCAAGTTGCCCATGTTCTGGGATCAGAGCGGAAAGGAGGGTGAACCAGGGTGAACACGGAGGCGGCTTGCGGTCTACGGGACCCGACCGAACGGCTGCGGAACAGGCTGCTCTCTCGTCTGCGAACGCCTTGGAATGTCTCAGGATAAACCTCAACACAGCTGCCGACTTTTTGGGCCCAGCGGACGATGTCACTCTGGTTCATGCATGCGTCGGTATGCACAGCGTCTTGAGACACCATGACCACCAATTAGTATCTCGCGCAAGGTGGATTGCCCTGCACGGCACAGGCCCTCCGTTGTCCAAAGACTGAGAAGTAGCGTCCATCTTTATGTGCAATGCTATTGAGATGTGAAAAGTAATTCAAACCATCATGTTACCAATAGGAAAAGCTTCGACTAAAAGAAGATAAAAGCATGCACCTGGTCAGTCAATGAGCCTGCAAGTGAGACTGAGACACGTCTAAGCCTCAATCTCTGTGTACTTCAGCCTATGAAAATTCATTGTCTCAAACCTTCCTGGCATGTCTCAACGGCCATATAGTTGAGAATATCTCGGCCGAAATCAGCTCCCTCTGGAGCTACGAACCTCTGACGCGAACAATGTCAAGCTCTTATCAATGGTTGCTGAAAAAGCGTACCTCCGTGAGGCCTCTCAAGAAGGAGGATGGATGGCGCTGTTCGCCAAGAAGATGTTGCCGGACCTGCGATTTACAAAAACTCCGTAGAAGGCCTGGCTGGTAGCTGGTACCCTCTGAACTGAGCATGCGACGCGTTCGGGAGCCCAGGAGAAAGGCTCATACCTGCTGCAGCACTTGCTCGCATGAAGTACAAATAAGAGGACACTTTGACATGTAAACACACGAGCTACAAACTTTGATGACAAGAACTTTCGGCATCCTGCTGCCGGGGCCGCCATGGGTGCCACAGACTGAGGAGGAGCAAGACCTCAAGATCGCGGCACAGCGATCATGGCCATCAGAGCAGACTAGAAATTAGGTCATTGGCCACCAGCATAGCCACCACTGAAACCACCAGTGTATGCCACATGACGCTCTCCAGACGCCACCTGCACAAAGCTCATGTCATCTTCTGCTCCATACCCTCATGCTTTTCAGGCGGGAAAGCTTGCAATTGCCAATCACACCAAACAAAAGCAGATCCTCAAATTCCTTCCTCACTGGAACAGCAACGGCGAGGCCTGAGGTGGGTGTGAAGACGGATACACCACTGGCGTCACGTGCTGAGGATGACTGACCTGAGTCACTGAGGCCACCCATGCCACTCCTACTTGTAGCAGAGAGTAGAAAGCGTCTCCTTAGACAAAACTGCGGCCACACGTTCGTGGTCCTGTAGCGTCTACGAGCCTGTTCCTCTGGAAAGATGAATGCACAGTGACCAGCAGACCTGGTTGATGTGGGGTATTTTTCCGCAACATAAATAAGATCAATTGTTGTCTTGCTCCATATTGGGAGCCAGGACGTTTCCTGGTCCAACCAAAGCATGAAGTCAAAACAGCATGGAACCAGCAGCCGTGGACAGCTGTACTTGAAGACCACGAATCTGTGGAAAGCATGAGAGATTGCTGAGGGCAGTACAGCTGGATGTGCAATGCTGTGGTGGTTTGCAACCTGGTCAAGCTGGCCCTTCAGATCCCAGACTTTCGCAATCAGCAAGTACCTGGGGCTCTGACGCAGGGCTGTGGTGGGGTGCCGTGATGGCTGATAGATGGATGATGGCTGATGGGTTGATGATGGTGATGATTGGAAGGATGGTGAGCAGTTGGTGCGTAGGTGTCCTGAGATGCAGTGAACAATTCGTGGCATTTCTACGAAGCATCCGTTGAAGCAGAACCTTTCTATACATGGACCCACTGAGTGACTCGAGCGTCATGATGTGGGTGGTGGGACCTGTTGTACTGCGGCGGCGAATCGTGTCGTCTGTCAACCTTCAATTTGGAGATGACAATACTGATTCTGCATGTAAGGCACCTGCATGTCCCTCAGGCTTTGGCCGGAGCGGGGTTGCCTTGGTGATTCCGCCGACCTTAGCAAAAGCTCGGCATGAGCTCTGCTTGAGGCCTACAGCCGTAGCTTGGAATGACACGATTTTGCTGACCATCCCCGAACTGCTGCCGGTACCTGCGAAGAAAGACGTGCAAATGTGATTCGCAGAAGGGGATGTGTGTTGGCCAACATGAGCGCACGCGCGAACCCTGGCAGAGATCTCGCTGAAGATCTGCTGGAGTCTTACCTGATGATATGCTACAACCAAATTGTCCAAGTTATGCTCTTAAAGATCTTAAAGGCAACACCGCACCTTGTGTCCGGGCAGCCACTTCACGTTGTTGAAGGCCTCCAGCAAGCAGCAAGCCACGAGACAACGAGCAACAGCCTGCAGCACTGCAGCGTCCTCGACGTCAACAAGGCTATCAGGTGATAGCGTCGTCAAAGTATCAAGGGTATCATACCTCTGAAGGAAGGTCTTGCAGTTTTGCACAACCCTGCAGCTCGCAGACAGCTTCAACCGGTGCCCTCAGCACGGCACCCAGCGTTCGTGAAATGAGCTGCCACGGCCGTGGAGATCTTGTGAGCTTTGAAGAAATTCACCACCTGGAGAGTAGAGAGAGGCTTGCTCCGATGGCCTGACCGCTTCTTCTCAGGTCCGTGAAGGCCTCGTGCCTCTCCCGCTCCAGGTCTGGGTCCATCTGAGACGCGCAAACACAAATCGTACCGCGCACTCATCTGCAGAATCGCTGCTTAACTCAGCCTGCCAGATGGAGGCAAAGCCATGAAGATGCTCAGGGTAGTGCCTGAGAGCCCGCATTTGCACGCAGCACTGCTTGAAAACAAATTGCCGAGAGCAAAGCTTGCAGAGGAAATCCACCACAAAATGTATGCAATTCTTTGGCTTCTGCTCCTGTGCCACCGTACACACCGCATTTACGTGTTTGGGTCAGGGCCATGCCCCATTGCGCGCCTCTATCTCCTGGGCTAGCCGAGTGAAGAGCTGAGAGACCGCAGCCTCAGCAGGGACAACCACGAGTTTGCTGCTGTAGGCTGCTTGAACACGCATGCACTCAATGTGCTGGGACGCCAGAGGCTTAAGGTACTTCAAGCTTGACCATCATACCATGCCTAGTCTACTGCGTATTAAGTCAGACATGTCAAAGTCATCTTCCTTCGGGCTTTGTTTGCCATTTGCCTACTCCGGCCGTACAGTGGCACCAATACAGAGGAACTCCTTGCACATTGGAATGCCGCAGAAAACCTCTCAGCTGAAACTGCGAAAACATGAGATCAACTGCTCCATGTTCAGGCTATGTTTGTGGCTGGTGACAGAGTGCTTTTGCAGGGTTGGGCCTGTCAAAATGTGCTGGACAGTGAGCTTTTGTCACAGGTTGTCTTGCATCGTGCACAGGCCCATTGGATGCAGGTATCTGGTCAGCAGAAATCTGTCGTGCTCGCTGTTTACACAGGTCCCATTGACATGAGGCTGGCACCATGGACCCTCCTCCGGCGCCACCGCCGCCAGCTGGTGCCTCCAAAAGGGTACACTCACTGTTGGAGCATGTGAGGTATCCGGTGTAGTTTTCATGCTGTCACCTGCGAGGGTTCATAGCCCATTGGCGGGCCGTCGGCGCCCAAACCTTGCAGCAGGGACAACACCCTTCACAATACACCAGAAAGACCAGACACGTATTGGGTCTTCAGCTCTGCATGCCTGCCATTGCTCATTCAAAAAAAACGTTGGACTGCAGGTGAGGGCTTTAGAATTTGTATCGCTCTACCAGAAAGCACTGATGGTGATCGACCTCTGACTGATCAACATCTACGGCCACATAATGTCTGCATAATGGCTCTGCATGTGACCCAGCTCGAGCCGACGGCAACGAACATGTGCTCTCTGATGCAGTGGAATGTTGCAAACTTCTAGACTGCCTTGACGTCTCGCCTCGCTTTACCCAACACATCGATGCACGCTGCCTGGCGCAGAGAAGAGCCCTCAAACTGAGCGAGCACGGTCGATCTTTCATCCAGGCCAGCGTCGTTGCGCGAAACAGGCTCTGGACGGATGGCTCTGGGCTACAAGACAACGTGAAACATCTAGCTCGCTTGATGGAGGTCTTGCCATCAGACATCTGCTCGTGTGCTCACGTAGTGCCCTTTTTCTGGTATACGCCTGAATGCTCGGTGCACAGGTCCCCTCCGAACTGAGCGAGCACTTCCAAACTGCCCAAATGTCTTCGAGGAGTAGGGCTGCTGCGGATATAGTCTACGTGAAGCTGGGTAGGGAATTGCGTCAAGGATGCATCTCCTGCTGAAAAGTTCTCAGAATCGCCATGACCGCGTCAATTTTGTCAGCACTCTGCACCTCCTGAATGACCTCCAACGGCCAAGTTCAGAATCATGAAGAATTTCCTGAGACGCAGACCAATAGTTGTCCCAAGCTAGCAAAACTCTACTGAGGCTGCGGCTTGCCTTGCGTGAAGGGATTCGGCCACGAGGTCCGTTTGGGATCCGCCACGGAGAGGTCAAGCTGAGCACCACAGGCGCTTTCAGCTTGAAAGATTGGTGAAGGGCCTTCTTGTGGGGGAAGCTACTTGTCACTTGTGGCAAATGACTACAATTGTAAGTATGTCTACCTGGCCAGGACCACAGACCAAGTGACCTGGGAAGGCTTTAGAATGTCTCTACCTACAGGCAAAAAGCCTGATCAGCGGAACCATCTCCAGGAGGTTTCTAAGTCCAAAAACAGGGTCTAGAGTCTGAAGCGCAGCCTCTCCTTTTGCACTGCACATGGCTGCAGATGTGGGCAAATTCCTCTTCACGGCTAGGGAAAGGTCTGAAGGCTTGACACTTTCAGCAGTTAGGAGGTTGAGGATTTTTGGGTCTTCTCAGGGCCTCCCAGGCCTTCAGGGCCTCCCAGGGCCTCCCAGCCTTTCAGAGCCTCCGGACCTCCCAGGACCTCCTTTCCGGTGTTTGGGTTTTCGGAGGTTATGACGTGCGGGCTTTGACATCAGAGGGGCGTAACATCGTTTGCACTTCAGGGTTTTGGGTCTGGGATGTTCAGGTCTTCCTTTCGAGGGCTCCGTTTTCTTCTGGCACGAAAGCCCACTTCAACTTAGCTATTGAATGAGCACGCACGGCCTTTCTACTGTCCACAATGTTCTGGGCTCATCAGGTCCAGGGTTCAAGAAATAATTCACATCCAATGTTTGAGATAAAGGCCTCGTGCTTAAGGCCTGCGGCCCTTAAAAACCGTGCTCAGTCTTTCTTTCTTCAAGGTTTTGGGTGCCCAGTCTTACGGCACGACGGTTCGTAGGGTCTAGGAAGCTGTTGATGGACAGTTGTGGGTGCATGGCCTTGTTAGTGTAGAGCAGAATTCAAACGGAGGGATTCATCTATGCAAGATGTTTGCTGACAATCTTAGCGAGAGCGCAACAAACAAACTGGATTCTGTATGCATCCTGGTCATGCGAGGATTCAATTGGTACATTCTTACAAAGGCCAGTACAGTGCTCATACCGGTGCACACTGAGCGCTGTGTACATGTAGTCAACATCTCTGGGAACAACTCTAAGTTGAGACTTTGCAGCTGTCTCTGCGCCTTGAGAATCGCTTCGCCATCAATGCGTATCTCCATGAAGTCCTTGTCCCATTCCAGCTGCCAGGTATGGTAATACCTTACATACAATAGCTGATGTCAAGGAAGGATTCATTCCCACATTGAGCGCAGTACTTCTCCCACTCACGGTCAATCATGCGAGCGCCTGGCACCGAACAACGCTTCGAGAAACTCAATGTCACGTGTAATTCCGGCCTGCATGCTGGATAGCACTGCTGGGAAGCCCTGATTCCCCGGAGTGGATCACCTCAGTCAGGCAGCGGACACAACAAGCTAGTAAGCCTGAACAAAGCTCCAACAGCAAAATATTGAGAGTGTATAAGCAAGGAAACGGAAGAAAACGAAGGGAGACACAAAAAAGATGTGCTCGGCGCACATGACAGGATTTGCTGTTTAGCCAAATGGCACTGGCTTTCACCATCCGCTGGAAGGCGTCCATGATGTCGATCTCTCCGTTTTTGGGCCAAGGGACATAGTCAAAGTCGCCAATTGCCCACCAGCTTGACCAGGCGCCTTTCGGCAGCTTGGGCTGGGTGCGTAAGAGGACTTCTTTGATAGGCCTGGTCTTGTGTCAATCTTCGCACGCAGCTCAAAGAGCCCATACGAGAACTCCTCCAACGCACGTAGCACTAAGGCACTAAGGGATCGCTGAGATGTATGACGATGCTTTACTGAGAGCATTCCAATCCACATGACTATGACACTTCAAGAAGCTGCAAAAAGTCCATCCTTCTTGCCCCTGGTCATGAGCGAGGCTGAGGTGAATTCTGCTGACTCGGAGCAGTCACATGCTGGACCGCCAGAATCGTCGTTCCTCAAATACGGCACGGACCGCTGCATGTCCGCAATTTCTTGACTGTGCTGTAGCTGCAAGCAGGTGGCCGGACCAAGTCACAAGGATTGTAATACTGGAAGTACGGGGGAGCGCAGACCGCACCTTTCCCAAATGCTTCTAACTCTTGACTTGCGATCATGCGCCCGTGTTCTTTGGATTGTGCTGCGAAGAAATTCGTGTAAGTGCGGCACAGGATGCGTTGTCTAAAGGCTGCTCGATGGAGTCCCAGTTCACAACTTGGCACTGAGGGCCCTCAGCAAGTCTTCGATGCGTTAAGACCAGGCATGCTGCGACTTTCTATCCCTGAACAGCAAACGCCTGCGGCTTCTCCCACGCTTGGCGTTCACGCCTGGCCGTGATGACCAAGGCACCATCCTTGCCTTGGAGCATTTCTGCAAAACACACCAGTTGTTGGCAGCGTACGCTTATTATGCTACTAGACTCTTTCGCTTTTCTGTCACGCAGCATTTATGCCTCACATGGACTCACTGTGCAAGCAGCCAAGCAGAAAATCCGCCGCATCCAAGCTGCACTCTGCATTCTTCGGCTGGTACCATTGCAGCTCCTACAGGCCACGTAGATCCCGCTGAAAGCATGCAGCTAGCTATCTGATTAATCCCCTCTTCCTCTAATATTAAACCCCCCCTAACATTAAATACGGGTTCGCCAGAATCCGCCGAGGCCGGAGGCCTGATCCGGGAGCCGGAGATTAGGAGTAGTTTAACCCACCCCTCCCCTCCCGCCGCGATTTGGAGGGTCTGCGCCGATTAGGAGGTTGGGGGGGTGAGCGTGTTTTCTTGCAATTCGGAATCCTTGGTCCTGGATCTGAAACGCAGGTGCCTCCTAGGTGCCAGGCCAAAAATTGGGTCAGAAGCTCAAAAATTACGATTTTGGCGGCGGGGGGGTAGCGGGGGAGAGAGGTAGGTGCGGCTCACATGCAGCTTGCAATTCATTAGCCGAGATGCGAGCCGCGAGGGGTGGTGGGTTCTGTACACCGAGCTCTAGGTGCGGTGCAGGTGAACGCGTGTCCGGGATCATGCACGACAACAGTCGCACTGCCCCTTAACTGACATCTCTACCCTCGACTACCTTTGCCGAGGCGGTCTCGCGTATTCCAAATTCTGAAATCTGCCCCCAAGATGACTTTTAAAAGGGCCAAGTCTAAAGTTAATTCTGGCTCGGATCCTCTGAATTAGGTGGTGGGGTCCCTAGCACGACTTTTAAGGATTAGGGATCTCCTTGATTTCCTAGACCTGGATTGTTTTTGAATGTTTTTCACGAAGGAACTTAGATACAAAAAACAGAAACTGATTCCAAGGCCTCACTTTGGAACAGTCCCTAATTGGCTCTAAATTTGGAAAGGTCCCTAATGAGGCCCTAGTTTGGAATAGTCCCGAATGAAGCAGTAATTTGGAATGATCCCCAATAAAGCCCTCATGAAAATTATTTCCTAATAAGGCCCCAATTTACAATAGTCCCTGATAAGGCCCTGATTTACAATAGTCGCTGATAAGGCCCTGATTTGAAATAGCCCCTAATAAGGCCCTAATTTGGGATAGTCCCCAAAAAAAAAGCCCTTGATTTAAAATAGACACTAGTAAGACCGTAGTTTGAAATAGTCCCTTATCAGATTTGATCGCATTTCATACGATCTTAATCAGATCTCAATAGAACCCCATTGCATACCCCGCCCTGATGTTTGGGTCGTATAATGAATACCCCTCTAATTAAACACGGTTCGTAGTATTCACATTAGGGCGGAGCCCCTTGATATTAGGGGAAAAAGAACTACTCTAACGCTGCCCGGCATTAGATTCATGTTGGTGGTGCAGTGGGCGCTGGCGGTGGTGCTGGCGGTGGTGCTTGTGGTGCTGGCAGCGGCGGTCGCCGATCCGAGCGTTGCCCGCAACCGGGATGCCCCAGCCCCCACAAGTTGCTGGAGCCACCGGGAGCGGCAGCCGCAGCCTGCGGCCGAGCACAATTTGCATGGTGTCGGGGGCCAAGTCGTTTGAGGCCGTCAACGAAAAGACGGTTGTGTTTTTTAGGGGAGATCAGCAGCGGTCACAGTGACCTTGGTGGCAGTGGTGCCGGCGGTGATGCAGTTATGTGGGCGCTTCTCATATTTTACAGTATCTTCTTTGTGATGAGTCCTGCTGTTCTTGTGTTTGCGCCGCCCCTGTTAGGATGACTCAGGCTGCTCTTGGTTTCCCTATTTCTTCCTCCTCCTCTACATATGTTCATTCTCGTAATGCACATTGCGCAACCAATAACCAAAGCCACACATCCTAAATCCCAGCACAAACCGTACCCGAGCCCCTGGAAGTGATGCCACTGGGTGCATTGATGAACATGATGAACAGTCTGGGGTTTCTAGTATGCGTATAAACCTACATGAGAGCTATCTGAAATCCATGGTGAATACATGCGAACTCTCACGCTAGCGTGTGAACCCTAGACCTGCAAAGTCCCACAGGCTCATTAGGGACGTGAGCCCCGAAAAACGGCCCTGTCTGTCTTGGTATCCGCTTGCTTATCGTGTGAAAAACTAGGACACCTACTGACGTGACTGACGCAGACGCGTCCAGCCATGCACAAAGATTAACAAAAACAGGAACACTGTCCTTGCCGCGCTTGTAGCCAGTCTCAGGGCCTCAAGGGGCGCCAAGCTAGACTTCCTCACATGCCAGGCCCATTGCAGACAGGATGCTCCAGAACTCCGGGCTAGGCCGCAGCGTGCCGGATGTGTCCGGCACGCAGGTCTGGGAGTCAAAGTGATCCTAGACACAGAGGACTCGCAGAGGTTTGCTGATAGAAGAACGACACAACACATCAAGAGCCTCCCAAACGAGCTCCCAAATGGGTAGTGCGGGTGATGCCTGCGTGCCATGGCTTGCCATTGCAAGAAGAAGCAGAAGAACTGTATGGATGCCAAGGTTGAGTCACAATAAGCTCCGGACCGGTTCAGCCTTGGCACCGGTGCAGCGTCCCGCGGTCCACGGCGTGCCTTTCTTCCAAACATGCTTCCCAGATCGGGTGCCGGTGTTCCGAGAAAATTGTTGCGTAGCCAGCTTGCTGACAGCAGAGCGCTACTGGCAAGCTTTAGCGTCACAACTTGTACTGTCACAACTTTTACTGTTTTCAAGGTTGGGCAATATACCACCAGTGCAAAAAACTCTACCACAAAAAGCCCGAAACAGAAGCAACTTGAACACTCTCAAATACTCTCAAGCAAGCTATCGAGTTGGGACCCCGGCATTTGGCCGTGCCAAATCCGGGAATGCACTGCGCCTGCATCCAACCTGCCCACATCTGCCCACTAGAACCCTAATCACTCCCCTATATAATCCCAGTTTCCATTTCATTTTCCATTTTCTTTTCCATTTGATTCTCCATTATAGTAGTTTCCATTTTCTTTTACCATTATCCCTATATAACCCCTAAATTATACCCAATATATACCCTATAATCCCCCATATAACCCATTATTATAATAGGTTCCATTTTATTTTCCATTATCCCTATATAACCCCTATATTATACCCCTAAACCCNNTAAACCCCTATATAACCCCTTTGAACTTCGTGGAAGCCGCTCAGCAGAGATGGCCTGGTTCCGAACTTCTCGCAGGGCTCCCAGGAAGGAACTCACAGCTGCCGGAGTCTTCTGGTCAGCCACAACACATAAACTGGGTTGCTGTTAAGG